AGAAACTGCAGGCAGTGAGCCACATCTATTCAAATGTAAACGTCCGATTCGGGTTGTTAGGCATTCGAATGAATCAATGCTCTTGGCCAAGTTTGTGTTGACAAGGACATCGACGGTTTTGCCTGACTGATGTCGCTGTTGTCCCAAAATTTCGAACGGGATCGGACCACCGTCTCCTTCGTGCAAAATTCTACTTCACAGAGCGGGGAGAAAGGGCTGCAAAGTTCAAAAAGAGAACTCCCAGAATGACCACCAACTGGGAACTCTTTGGTACTATTGCGGCAACATGGGAAGATGCCATTGTTGACAACATTGACGAGGAATACGATCGACTGGTTCAGCACCTCCATGAATGTGCGAGGAACGCCAAGAGAGAGATAGCCACAAAAAATCGCCTATCTTTGAAAACTCTTGAGTTAATTCACCAGCATGGTTTGGCGCATGCCTCAGGCAACCGCAAGCTAATGTCCGAGCTCGCAAAGCAGTGCAGAGATGCGATCAAGGAAGACCTCAAAGAGAGAAGAGCAGAAGTACTGGTAGATGCGGCAGAAGCCGGGAAAAGTATTCGTAATGCCCGCCTGTCCTTCGCCAACTACAAGACCAAGATGACTGCCCTCTGACGTTCTGATGGATCCATCACATCGACAATGGAGATTATCCGTGACTTCTACTCAAATCTCTTCGATAGCCATGTCCACTTGCCGACATACCAAATTCCACAGGATGGATATGTCATTCCCAACGTTCTCCCTTCCGAAATCTGACATGCCATTTCGTCGGTAAAGAAACAAACAGCACCCGGCCCAGACAAGGTTAGACCTGAACACCTGAAGAACCTGCCGTCAGTACTCATCAATACACTGGCTCGGCTCTTCACTCGCTACCTGTCTGAATGCAAGGTTCCGTCCCAATGGAAAACCAGCAGGACCGTACTACTGTTCAAGAAGGGAGACATCCATGACATTGGCAACTATCGCCCAATCTGCCTATTGTCTGTCATCTACAAGTTGTTCACTCGAGTCATCCGAAATGGGATTGGCAGAACACTAGATGAAGGACAACCATGCGAGCAAGCTGGGTTCCGCAAAGGATTTAGCACCATCGACCATATCCACACGATAACCAAGCTCATTGAGGTTTCTCAGGAGTTCAAGATGCCGCTCTGTTTAACGTTCATTGATTTAAAGAAGGCCTTTGATTCTGTTGAGATGGAAGCGGTCATTGAAGCCCTAGCCAATCAGGGCATTCAAGCCCAATACATCATGATCCTCCGTGAGCTGTATTGTGGATTCACTACCAGGATCTCACCATTCTACAAAGAAGTGATCATTGATGTCAAGAGAGGGGTGCGGCAGGGTGCCACCCTCGAGAACATCATGTGACGACTGGAATGGGAAGGAATTGGAGTGAAGATAGATGGTCGGCAACTACACCACCTCCGCTTTGCTGATGACATTGTTTTAATAACACCAAACATCAGCCAAGCGGCACAAATGCTGGCCGACTTTGACCTTGAGTGTGGAAAGGTAGGACTACAGCTGAATCTTACGAAGACAATGTTTATGAGAAACAGCCTCGTTCCTGATGCCCCATTCGCTCTCAACGGAACGACCATCTCCGAATGCAACAGCTATGTGTACCTAGGTCGAGAGGTCAACATGACAAATGACCTGGCACCCGAGCTGCGCAGGAGGAAGAGAGCGGCTTGGAACGCCTTTAAGAGTGTCGAAGAAATAGCTAAGAGGACGAAGAACCTCCGGCTCCGGGCACATCTCTTTGATTCCACTGTTCTTCCTGCATTAATATATGCCTCAGAGACCTGGACCCTATGCAAACAAGATGAGAACGCTATTCAGGTCTCCCAAAGAAGAATAGAAAGAGCTTTGCTTGGAATATCACGTTTCACTCAAATGAGAGAAAGAATCCGGAGTTCTGACATCCGTTGACGATCAAGAATCAGGGACACTGTCTCATTTGCCAAGGTGTCGAAAATCAGATGGGCTGGTCACGTAATGAGATTTAAAGATGACCGCTGGACTAGAGCTGTTACCGACTGGATTCCACGGGATGTCAAAAGACCACGTGGCCGCCCACCTACCAGATGGTCAGACTTCTTCGTCAAGATCATGAACGATTGGTTTGAGGCTCTTCATGTTCCCAGAGCGAACAGATGCCATTGGGCTACACTAGCATGCGACAGGGACAAATGGAGATGTTACTGGCACCCGCTCGAGCAAATCGACGACTAACGGGAAGTTAAGTGATTAAGTGATTAAAAACATCGTGATTTACAAAGTTGTCCATTATTTAGTTGTTTCAAGCATTTAGTGTTCTATCAGCACCAGTGAGACCTTCCCTCCACCAATATCCCCAGTTTCCTTTTCAATTTCACCCTGCTTGCTCCCTTAGGCACATAACAAATTTACTTTATATTGCTTATTCCAACAAAACTTTAAGAAACGACAAATGTAATGATCAGAAATAAAATCAGTAAGAGTCAATTTGTGATTACTATATGGTTTTGACATATGTAAGAAAATTTAAAACCATTTAATGCAATACAGTAAAATGCCTATTCTCATTTACATATATGTTTTCAATTCTGGAATCTAAAGTATATCATGTTAAATGTTATTTTATACTTGGATCTCATTATGGTAATAATCATGTCTCAACTGTCATTAATAAAACTTTTAAAGCAATTCTATATTAATATATTTTGGAATTTACATGGAATAGGTAAGGTCTACATATGAAAAATTTCCTCTGAACTATATATAAACACTGTGATTCACAAAGGTTTTCAAAATGATTTGTTACAGGCATTCAATATTGCAACACCAATACCACCATCATTATACCTTCCCTCCACCATTGTCTCAAATTTTCCCAACCTCCCCTTAAACCTGCCCTCATAGCAGGCCTTCAATAATTTATTTTATATTGCTTGTTATCAATAATCTTGTTAGCTGAATGATAAGCAAATGTTTTCTTAGGAGAAAATTACTGTAAATTGTTGTATCCCACCATGGAGAGATTCAGTCCTTGTATGAGGGATTATTAAGATGTTGCTACAGGTTAAGCCTTCTCTATTTATATTTCGTTAATCAAGATTAGTTGCCTTCTCCTTACATCTCATCCAAACTGCTGTGCTACTACTGGTTTATTACTTTTGTAATGACTGATCTATAGTCCATTTTCCCAGTTAATCTATTTCCAGTTATTTTCTAATAATTCATTTTATGAATTGAAATTTACTATTTTTTTACTTTTTTATTGAATCACTGTGAGATAGAAAGAACAGCTTACAAAGCTGTTCATGATTAGATTTCAGTTATATAGTATTCCAGTACCCATCCATCCACCAGTGTACATTTTCCAGCACCAGTGTCCCCCAAGTTTCCTCCCATCATGCCCCACCCCCACCTCCTGCCTCTCTCTCACTCTCTTTCTCTCTCTCTCTCTCTCTCTCCTCTCTCTCTGTCTCTCCCCCTCTCCTTCCTCGGGTATTACACCCACTGCTTTTTCTATTTATGATTCTTCCCTTAGTCAACTAATATCATAATCCACATCAAATGGCAATTTTTCTTCACCACCCTATCATCATTTACATGGGATTGTTTACTGGGTGCTGAGGATTGAACCAGGGTCAGCTGCATGCAAGGCAGGTGCTCTACCCTGTACGTTATTGCTCCCTCCCACTGCTAAAATATTCTTAGTCAGAGGTCTTTTTATTTTTTTAATGTTTATGGGCTTTGCTACTAATAACTTAGTGTGCATTTTCAAAAAACAAGAATATTATGTGATGTAATCGTAGTACATAAAAATATTAGAAAATTTACAAAGATCAAATTCTATTCCTAACCTTTATATTCATAGTTACTCATTTGTTTCTAAATTATTCTTTGTATCAAAAGAAAAGGCAACTCACATGTGGCTTTCATTTTTTTTTATGTCACTGACTCTGTTTTAAACGGTAGTGGCAGTGGTTGCTTGAGTCCAGCAGCCTGAGCCATGGTCATGGATAGTTTTAAAGATGACAAGTCAGCTGTCTGCACAAATTTTGAGTTTTCTTATGGTCACTTTCTGTTTACTCATGACAGGTATAAGCCAAATGTGATGGATTGTCTTTCTCAGTGCATCAGTTCAGAACAAATACAGGATTACTTGTCCTATTCATGCAGATAATAAATTTGATCATTGGTTGTAATAGTATCTGCTAAATTTATTTGGTATAGAAATACTATGTTTTCACTTGTACCAAGTGAACAAAACATACGTACAAAACATAATGTATAAATCATTCTACTTTTTGTTAAATTTACTCCCAGGTATTTGATGTTTTTGGTCAATATTTTGAAAGGGATTAAAAAATTCTTTTCTTCTAATTTGTTGTTTGCACAGAGAAATGTCTTAGGCTGTTGTGTTAATTTTGCAAACTGTTGCTTTACTATGTTGGTTTATTGTTTCTAAAGGTTTCTAAGTATATTTGTGTTAGTGTACTTGCATTTTCAGTTGCTAAGTTGTTTGCTATGTTAAGACATGCTTTCCCAAATTTCAGATGCTGCAGGCTTGGTGGTTGTGAGAACAGAAGGATGTTTCCTTTGATGAAATCTCTAAGCTGTTTCACATGACAGAATACCTGGAAATAAAAACGTCTTAATTCTCTGAACGCTTTTCCTTGTAAACTAGGAAAGCATTTAATTGATCAGTTGATGCTGATTTTTCCTTTTTTTTTTTTTTTTACCTTTTCTCCTTCCATTTTCTACCACCACCTTTCAAGGGTTAAGTCCTAGTTGGAAAACAGCCAGATGGATTGACTTACTCGAGGAAAAGCTAAAAATGGTCAGATCTAAAAGTATCTATATCAAAACCTTCCAAAGAAACACAAATAACCGAATTTCCTGTGCAAAGGTTTTTACCTTCTCTTCTCACAACACTTAGAACACTGAGATTTTTGTAGAAGCTGTAATCAGTGTGATAGCACGGGTTGGATCAAGATATTTGGAGAAGGGACAAAGCTCATAGTGATTCCCCGGGGTAAGTAACTTATTTCTGTTTTTATTTGAGCAATTAAAGGTTGCATAGATGGCTTTTTTAGAAAAGCAAACTGAATATCATTGTTATCTATCTGCCACATTTTGTGTTTCTGTGATCCATGATTTTGAAGTTATGATAATTAGAGGCAAGCAAAACTATTTTGCAAGCGATTTATTCACTTCTCTGTGAGAAGATTGAAATTCCACTTCTAAAATATACACAGAGAAAGGTTTACTCAGGCTAGACATAGAAATATTTTAAGGACCAAGTTTGTCAGCCTCTGACATGTTATTATTTCAAGAGTTTTCTTCAAGAAGGTTTTTAACGTAACAGATTATTCAGCATCATTTCTTCATATCTTGTTTGCAAGAAAGTACTCCTTTCTCCTCAAACCTGAAAGCCAATATCTCATTTATCAAGGCTCTAGGGCGGAATATAAGTAAAACTTTTAAAGTGTTTTGTAGCTGGGGCCAGAGCGATAGTACAGCGGGTTGGGTGTTTGCCTTGCACGAGGTTGACTGGAGTTTAATCCCCGGCATCCCATATGGTCCCTCATATGGCCTTGATCTCATTTATTTCCTCTCTAAGAACAGTGAAAATAATTTTTTACAGTGACTACAAAATATTGTTTTTTTTCTTTTGCTCTTTGGATCACACCCAGAGATGCTCAGGTGCTACTCCTGACACTGCACTCAGGAATTACTCTAGGTCATGCATGGAGGACCATATGGGATGCCGAGGATTGAACTCTGGTGGGCTGAGTGCAAGGCAAACACCCTACCTGCTATACTATCACTTCGGTCCCGACTACAAAACATTTTTAAAATTCTGCCCTAGAACATTAAAAATAATATAAAACCTGTCAAAACATTGATGCCCATATTCATTGAGAGCAATAATTCATCCTAAATAATTTCAGTGATTTACCTCATTCCCCAAAGCCCTGTACATGCAATTATCATTCTTAAATATAGTAGGATTAGAGTTCAGTCATTCATATAAATTCACATGATTAGTTGCCATTGCAAAGTCTGAAACTCAATTGAGACTTGACTGTTGCAAATTCCATGTTCTGTTCTGGATCATTATGTAATACAAGAAACATCATCATGTTTTGCATTCTGAGAAGTTAGAAGTTAGACTAACGTTTTAAAGGCATTTTTAAATTAATTGCTTTGTAATAGCTCATAATTTCTATTACTTCTTATAAAATAAAAACAGCATTCCATTTCCAATCAAGGAAGGTAATTACCCATCCTAAATCCAATAAAATGAAGTAAATCATGTTAAATATGTATTTACTAATACTCAAAATATTAGTTTTAGAGTATTTCTAGATACTGAAAAGTGAGTTGGACACCTTTCTTTTCAATTTCATTTTTTTCATCAACATTCCAATGAATATTGAATCTTATTATAATGATTGGTGCATAAATTTCTTTATTTTACTGCATAAGCCAGTTATCTTTGCATATCTGATGGTAAACTTCAGAAACCGTCCATAGAGAATTATCTGAGAAGCAGACCAGGATATTAAGTCAAAGTTCTGGAAATTTTAAGAGTTTTTTTTGGTCAGTGTTTCATCAATTTATTGCTTAAGGTTTCATCTCTACGAGTTTTTACTCTTCACCAATTCATTTGGTCTGCTCTGAGTAGTTAAAATCGGGGAAAAATTATTTTAAAATAAATCTTGCCTCCCCCTCTTAATACATATATGTACTTTAAAGCCATAAAGCATATTGAATACACATATGTTTAATACCAAAATTTGTTTCTATATTTTTCCTTTTTGAAATTTAAAAAAATACCAACTCTACATGTAGGCAAAGGATTGGTTTTGTAAGTCAAAGTCTAGAGGAAGGATGGTGAGAAAAGATAAGATCCTACTTCCCATGTACATCAGGGGAGATGGGAAAAAGCAAAACCCAAGCTGCCCAGGCAAGAGAGAAGTCAGTTCTCCATTTCTTGTTTAGATTTTCACGAGTGAAATTTTTGTTGGATTTCAACTTTGTTTACTGTTTGCAGGACTAATCTTTACATATTTAGACAGACATTGAAAATATAGCACAGCGGGTAGGGCGTTCGCCTTACAAGAGGCCAACATGGCCGACCCGAGTTCGATTCCTCCGCCCCTCTCGGAGAGCCCGGCAAGCTACCGAGAGTATTCAATATGCCAGACACAGTAACAACAAAGTCTCCAATGGAGACGTTACTGGGCCCGCTCGAGCAAAATCGACGATCAACGGGAGGGCCAGGCCAGAAAGTGTGGCACACCACATTCACAATTTAAAACACACACATGGGGAGATTTCTAGAAAGGTGTTTCATGTAGTGGGGGCAGCAGAAAAATCAAAATATTTGGTCCTGGCACACAGCTTATTCTCACAGTAAATGTTCTTCAAATTCTTTAGTATAAGATAGAGAGGAAGCAGGTAAGACAGGGGCTGCAGACCAGCTGCTCAACCTGACTCAGAACTGCTGGCTTCAATGTTGACCACACATCAACATGGGAATCTCTTGGGAGGTTACTGATGGTTTAGATCATGTGTTTTGTGACCTTCTTAGAACTGAAGCCCCATTCCAACCTTGCTTCCTTCCTGTGTCACCCCAGTCCTGCCAGTTGGCCCCTAGTCTCATGCTGTAGTCGCCTTGGGATATTCTGGGGGGCAACTGAGGGTTATATGGCTCCCAGTAACTGAAAATGCTTTGATACACAATTTTTAGTCTTTTATCTAAGCTCACTTCTTATAAATTTGAGAAATAAAATAAAATATTCATTAAAAATAGAAGATCAAAAGCCACAAGGAAGGCAGATAAAAAGGGAGCTTAAATAATTAGTCTAGCAAAAAGCACAGGTGAAATCTGTGTTTAAAGGAAAGATAAAATGCACAGTTTATGAATGAGAAAGTATGGCACACCACACTCACAAGTTAAATATGTCTTTTCCACTGTAAAATAGTTTAAGAGGACAGTGAAGTAAAGAATGAACTCTGTCTTCAGGACCCATTAATAAAACAAAAGAAGTGGGGCCAGAGTAATAACAAAACTGGTAGGGGATAGAGTGTCTCTTTTGCACGTTGCTAACCCAAGTATTATCCCCAGCATCTATTATTGCTCCCCAAGCTCTCCCAGGAGTAATTCCTGAGTGCAGAGCCAGGAATAACCCTGAGCATTTCTGGGTGTGACCCCAAACTGGAAAAAATATAAGATAAAATGGTAGTGTTTTAAAAGACCCATGAATACTACTTACTACTGCAGCACTGCCCTGGGCATCATAGCACTTAACACTAACAACTAGCAATAGAAACCATCTAATATCATTCACAAATGACTTTACATGTTTGATCTCAGTAGCAATGTCCAGGCAGATTAACTTGGTGACAGGAGAAGTCAATTCTTGAACCATTCTGCCCTGTAGCCCTCTTCAGGAGAATCCACTGAATTTTTGTTGAGTATCATCCAGATCATCCAGGGGACCATATTTTGTGGCAGAAATTGAACCTAGGTTGCATGTGCATGGCAGGTTGGGCCCTTGCCATGCATGTGCAACCTAGGTTCAGTTGACTTCCTCCGTCACCATGTTAATCTGCCTGGACATTATTTTTAAGTGTGTACCTGAATGCTGGAAGCATGGTATGGGACAGAAGTGTGTAATTACCTGACATTCTAGAGGAAAAATAAAGGTCTTCTTTCTGTCTAGACCCTATCTTTCAATGGCTTTGATTTTGGGAGAAGTTAGATACCTCTTCAACCTTTTCTCTCATTGAATATAAGACTGAAAAGTAATTCATAACCCTCAACTGATTACAAATTAAAGGCTGGAATAAGGGTAATGGCTACTTTCCACCCTTTTACGATGCCAATTGTCGTGTGTTCCTCAATTCTTTTTAAGTTTCTGTTCCATTTATCCTCACAGAGAAAAACCTTGATGGAGATTTTTCTCCCAAGCCCACTGTTTTTCTTCCTTCGCCTGCTGAAATAAACCTCCATAAGACTGGAACCTATCTCTGTCTTCTTGAGAAATTTTTCCCTGATGTAATCAAGATAGATTGGAAAGAAGAGAACAGTGATACGATGCTGGACTCCCAGCAGGGAGATATCATGAGGACTGGGGACACCTACATGAAATTCAGCTGGCTGACAGTGTCTGGGCAGGCGATGAATAAGAAACACAAATGCATCGTCAAACATGAGTTTAACAGAAGAGGGGTTGATCAGGAGATTCTTTTTCCTTCTATAAGAAATGGTATGTGAATATAAAATAGCCTCCTCTAAAAACACCAAATAGAATAGTGTTCTCTTTTTAAAGGTGTTCTTTTAAAAAAGTATCAATACAACACCTTTTTTGAAGTATTAATGAAAGTTAAATATAGATCTTTTGAAAATGTTAAACTGGTAGCATGAATTTTCTATTTCCAAATAATGTTGTAGGTAAATACAATTTTTATCTCATTGTATATATATATATGTATATAGCATATATATTCTTTTCAAAATATTTTATAAATGAATTTGGTTTATATTTTTATCTGATGCACAAAAGTGCTTAGCTCCTTAAGTGAGTTTGTTGGGTGTGGTGGTGGGCCACACCTGGCAATGCTCAGAGCTTACCCCTGGCTCTATGCTCAGGGATCACTCTTATACGAATCACATGTACTTCTAGGGATTGAACCAATGTCACCAAAGAGCAAGGCAAGACACCTTATCCCTGTTTTATCTCTCCAGCCCCAAAATGCTTAGTTTGCATAAGAAAAATGTTCTTATAATGAAAACTATTAAGTTATCCGCAAGTCAAATTTTAAATTGTCCATGTGATACAATTATGTTCACTTTCTATAGACTATTTTATATTTCACTGGATGCTTTACATAAATTACTTTCATATATTCTATCTCATTTAACCCACCACAGTGGTTCTCTGAGTGCTGGTTCTGTCAGTCATTGTTTTACTCTGGGCAAATTACATGTATTTTCTAAACCTCAGTTCCTGGTTTGTAATATGGAGTCTTCAAAAACACAACTTAATTTTCTATGACCAGGATATAAAATGAAATGATTCATTCAGCAGTGCCTGGTACAGTAATAATCATCCAACAGGCATTTCTTTAAAAACTACTGCCCTGTCCCTAAACAAGATAATTCTAAAAATTTAAATGTAAGTTAGAGATACAGTGATTTGTAAAAATATGATTACTTTGCTTAGATAATAATTTCTAAATAAGATTCTTTCAAACATGTTCTAAAATCTCAAACATGATTGATTCACTTTTGTAGCAACTCTTCATAGCATTATATTACGTGCTTAATACATATGAGTCACTTTTCCTTTTCTGCTCAACAAATATTGACCAAATAGCTACTTAGTAATTAAAACTGTGCTAGGATGTATGAGTACAGGAATAAAAGAGAATATCTTAAATATACCATTACAGCTGTGAGCATAAGAATAAAAATGGTACACACTCCTGAATTTAAGCATTATCATGTGAAGGAACATAAAACTTTAATTAGAGGTTCTTCTTATGTAGACTCATACTGTGACTGAAATTGTAGGTTCTTGGTTTCAGAATAAGAAAAATGAGTATGATTGATACTTGATTTAATCTCTTCTAGAGGTCACTGCTATTGAGTCTACAAACACTTCCCTAAAAGGAGAAAGTGGTAAGTTTTTGTACAGAACAATTTTATATGTGTATATCATGCTAAATTTAAGCCTAATCAATTTAACTTTTGAACGTTCCTAGTTTAAGTAGAAAAATGACTGTATGCTTCAGAGTACACTGAGTGATATTTTAAGTTAATTTATCATTTCCTTATTTTACATATGAGATCAGAGTAAAAATTAATTAAATCTCAAGCACAATTAAGTCACAGACCTAGAACTGAGCCCAGGTCACCTGAGATAAAACGTTAATCCAATTATTTTCCTATTATTACTTTAAGATAGGGACATAGAACAAGAAACAGAATACCTTGGGCCCCAAGACACAGCAGAAACAGAGCAGGAGGCTGGCACTTCACACTGGAACTTCATGGGCTCTAGCGGGATTCTTTCAATTATTTGTTGGAAGAATATGAATGAAACACTTTGGTGTTGTATTTCCCTAACCTGTCTTTTGGGAATAATGACTCCTTGCACAGCCAGCAAAGAGATCAGAATGCCTCTGCGTAGCATTGGGAGTCCCACTTGGCTGGCACAGACATCAGCACTGGGTCCAGCTCCTCCTGCCTAGTTCATACAAAGAAAGTGACTAGGAGCAGGGACTCTGACCCTGCCATGCTTTCCTCTCCCTCCAATATCAAAGGAACTCTGGGCTTGACTGACACCTTTATGACCAATAGCAGGAGTCAGGACCACAATCCCTTTGACAGCCCAACCCAAATGTTAGTTGATGATTCTGGAATTCTGAATCACTAACAATAAACCAGGTAAGAGAGACTTAGCTTTAGCTTATGGTGCACAATCATTGTTGCTATTTCTTGTAAACACCATAAATTCCTTGCAAAACATGCAAAGGCGAATATCTTTTAACATCAAAACCACAGTCAGAGATATCCAAGAAAGACATACAAGTGAATCATAGCCTTCTGTCATTTTAGAGAATTTGCACTGACTACTTTCTTCCATTGTGTGGAATTCTCTCTACCAAAACCTCTGCACCTGATTATCAGCATGTCTGTATTTCTATGGATTGTTTCATTTGTAGCAATATCATTGTGTATAAACCATATGATAAATGACATTTTTAGATAGGAAATCCAATGACTTAGTTAGGCTTAAATTTTTGCTCTATGGGGCGTTTATTTTTATATTTTTATTTTATTTTTTTGTCCCACAACTGGTGATGCTCAGGGGTTCCTCCTGACTCTCCTCATAAATTAGTACTGGTGGACTCAGGGAGTCATTTGGGGTTCTGGGGATTGAACCCAGGCCAGCCGTGTGCAAGGTAAATGCCCTCCCTGCTGTATTATGTTTATTACTTTACTATCACTGTTTATTACTTTTGAAAATGCAGAATTACATAGTAGATGATACTGTGCTCTTTACAGTCATATGGTTTGTATTGCTACCTAGTTTCTGATATTTACTAAACACATGGCATCAGACAAATTCACCTTCACCTCAACATGTGTTAAATTAAAATAAAACTATTAATCATGTAGGACACTGTGAAAATCAAATATGATGAAAACTTTGTGCACAAAGCTCTAAGAATAAGCACTGGCATTTAGTTAGTGGTTAATGATCATTAGCAATTTTTATAGTTGGGAAAAGCAATGCTAAAGGCTATTCTATTTATCACAACTATTTTTTCACCTTTTACTCATTCACTAAAAATGCAACCTTACATTTTGATATTTCAGAATGTTCTAAGTAAACATAGCAGAGGTTTTTATTTGATTTAAGCTGCAGGTAGATTCTAAGTTGTCTATTTGTGAGTAGTGACAGTATATTTTAATTTTGCTTTCTTGGTTTGAGGGGTGCCACTTGAATGTAGATCATCAGCAACAAATTATTGTGATTTTATTCTTATTAATATGTCCTATGCTTGCAAAAGAACAGGTGAAACTAATGAAACTATGTTTTTTAGATGAAGAACTGCAACTACTGTTCACGATCAACTCTGCCTACTATACCTACATCTTCCTCCTCTTCAAGAGCACCCTCTATTTTGCCATCATCACTTTCTGTCTTTTCAGGACAACAGCAACGTGTGGCAATGGGAAGAATTCACAATGATTGTACAAAGGGATGAGCGTTTTTCTATCACTTATACCCTCCCTAAAGGGCATTTGCTGAGGAAATAGTTGCTTATTTTATAGATTTGGTTTATGTTACATTACAAGTGTATTTTATATTGTTATTGTGTAAAAGGTAGTTGCTCTTTCTGCTAATTACAGACAGCTTGCACTTCTATTCCTGCCACTGGGACCTTGAATTAGCCGAGTGCCTTGAAGAACTTCCTTTCTATACACCATTAACATGCCATCTTTACTGTTGAATTGCTCACTTGCTTTTCCTACTAGGTGCAATAAATGTTTAAAAATTAACTCTGTGTTTGTTTTGGGTACTTTAATTTGTTGGAATCTAATAGAAAATTCAAGGTAAAAGAGTTCAATATGCCTAAAAGCTCTGGGCATATTGATGACTAATACCTCATTTTCCTAAGAAACTGGCCATGATACTTTCTTGAGGTCATTGGTCCTCAGGTAAACCGTATCGAACAGAGGTGCTAAATTACTTCTCCTAAAAAGGATAGATTCATCCCTTCATTTGGGACATTTGGAAGTCACTGTCACTGTCCTCCCATTTTTCATCAATTTGCTCAACCCAGTAAAGTCTCCATTGTGACATTTGTTGTTACTGTGTTTGGCATATCGAATATGTCACGGGTAGCTTGCCAGGCTTTGCTGTGTGGGTGAGATACTCTCGGTAGCTTGCCAGGCTCTCTGAGAGGGGCAGAGGAATCAAACTCGGGTCTGCCATGTTGGCTGTTTGCAAGGTAAATGCCCTACCACTGTGCTATTGCTCCAGCCCATTCTGAAGTCAACTATGGTTAATATCTATTGTGACTTGTGTTGTGCTTAGCTCAGTACTAAAATCTCTTGAACACCTTGTTTTCTCTCACAATAATCTCACCAGAGCTCCAGGAAATGTGGAGACACGCAACATGACATAAAGATGGACACTTGTAATCTAAACCCTCTGACCTGAATCTGGCATTAGTGTGATTCTTGGATGTGTATTCATGAAAAAAATAGAAAAGCCCAAGTCTCTCTCTCTCGTCACCTGTGTTCGGTGGTCTCGGGCGGCTTCCCTACTGGGGACAGCCGATGCCAAGGGCAGATGAAAGAGGAAACAAGGGTCAAGCTAGTTGGTATCAATTGCATTTATTCCAATCCTGTCTCCTTTCTCCTCTGACTCTCTTTCCCCGAATCTCTTTCCCTTCTCCTGGATTCCCCTTGATCCTACCAGACCACCCAATTCTTCTTGATTCCTCTCCCTCAGATCCTGCTCCTACGTTCTTCTCTACATTCTTCCCCTCTATGGTCTTCTTTTGTCTCCCTTGCTAGTCTCTCCCTGCTCTGACTCACCGACCATCCTGCTCTCTCTAATCTACCACACCCTCCAAACCAGACCCAGGTACAGTAGCACAATCAACATATGAAAGCCCTTCCTGATCTCCTGCAGCCAGGAGATCACTCCAGGGTGAAATACCACCTATGGTGCATTTCTCCTTTTCTTAGTTTATCATTTAAATATTCATCTTAATTTTACTTCTTAATAATGTTAGTCATTTTGTATGGGCACAGTAAGAGATACATTAAGCTTATAGGATTGGTCTCCTGGGGACATCTTATTATAGATCCCAGACTACAGTGCTCAGGCCAGATTAGTTTTTCCTAATCCTAGCAGGGTGCTAATCCAGTTGTTACTTATTAAATCATGACAGAATTTGTCCATGACCATGCTCTTAACTTAAAATAAAGCATTATGGCACTTTGCCAAGCCCATTTTGATGCCAGGGTAGCTCACAGCTTGCCCTGGGTCCATCCAGTCCCTTGTTGGGACCCTGCTTTTGGGGTGCTAGGAACTAAGGGAAACTGAGGTTTAAGTCGAGAGAACAGATGCCCATGAGTGAATATGACTTGAAGTCAACTAACTTCCCAAGTGCGAAGGGCCCGCAAACCACTCTCCGACCCGCGGAGGTGGCCCTAGGATCCGTAGGTGCAGGGAAGGACCGACCAAATGAACACAAGACACAAGAGACAGAGTATAGTTTAGAAATAGAGAGAAAAAGGGATAGCACTTTATCGAGGGATACAGGCTGTTTATATAGGGCCCCGGGCAGCTCAGTCAGGAGCAGAAGCAGTATAACCATATATGGTAAGGTCAGCAACAAGAGCTTTACCTAACATTCAAGGTAGACATTTGTACATCAAAGGGTCTTGTGGCAGAAGGTGCATCCTGAGCTTTACATTTGTATATCAAAGGACCTTATGGCAGTAGGTGTATCCTGAGCTTTTCATTTGTATATCAAAGGGTCTTAGGGAGTAGATGCATCCTGGAGGTTACTATAGATAAGGCCAGCTAAGCTAACTGTCAGCCTGATGTTGCTTGCTATAGATCAGGCATCCACTGAGATCAGGAAGTCCTGAGAGACTGTCACCAATGTCTGTCCCAAGCAGTTCCTAGCATGGGAACCACGGTCAGGGTCTATGAGGGGGCTCTTGGCTTCCCACACCCAAGTTACAAAAGCATAGTATTAATAGTCTTCCTGTGTTCATACAAAAAGGACATTGCTCTGAACTATGCAAAGGACATGAGAAGAGGAAAGCAGTATTTCATTTATGAATATAAATCCAGTGTCCTTAGAAGGATCTGACCTTAAAAGTTAACAGAGTCTGATTAGAGGATACAGGTGATTGGCTTGGGAAGCAGAGCACAAAGAAAGAGGTTACAGATAAACACAGAGGAATGGGAGTGCCTTGAGAGCAGTGTGATAAGTACTACTCAATAAACTTAAACTCCCTGTAGCCAGGGAGAAAGAACAAACCAATGTTACTTACACTTGGACAGTTATTTGAACCACTTTATCATAATTTCCTTACTTACAATATGAAGTTACACTTTCCTATCTTCTGAAGTTACACGAATTAGATGACCTACTTAATAATGCTTGGCGCATCAAAGTCCTTGCCAGCATTGGCATCTACTTTTGGTATCACTACTGTGAAAACAGTGGGTCCCTCACACTCCCAAGGATGCTGACAACCTTGGGGAAACGTAGTTCTTTCTTTTTATTGAATCACTGTGAGACACATTTTAGGGGTTCACCCTATTGCTTGAGCTACTTCCCCAGCCCCTAATCTAATCTTCACCATGCAACACAAAGAATAGTAGGAGTTGAGGTTCAAGGGACTTCATTCATATCAGGAGTAGAACTAATAAAAGAGAAAAAACAATACAATGAAAACAAATCTTACACTTGGCAACAAAATGGTGGTAAACAGAGAGGAAGGAGTGAGGGGTCAGTGGTGGTGCAGCACAGGAAGCTGCACTCCTGGGACTCCGATAGTCTCACAAACCAATTGTACAGCAATAAGAAGAAACCATCTGGGTTATTAATGTCCTCATCACCGTGAGCACTGCATCGTGTTGACTATGTCCTAGTACATATAGGAGTGGGTGTTCATTCTCACAAGAACCACCCGAGCTATGCGCGATCATCTCTCCACAGACTGAAACTAAACCAGGGAGACAATAAGAATATCCCCACCGTTAGGCAGCTGATAAAAAACAGAGCTGGAATTTGAAGCCAAGTGTTTTGACTACATTTCTTCTCCTTATTCCTATGCAATATGGACAATTAAAAGGTATTAGGTCAATGGTAGTTTGTGGTAGGGAGATTTTTTAATATCAATGCCAGTAAGACTTATGTGCTTAAACTCCACAGCACTGGACTGGATCACACACATAACAGAACAATAGACTGTATTACACAGATGTGAAATGCAAAGTGAGGCAAAGCGCCGTTCTGGCCCAGAGAGACAGGATAATCGGTAGGGCTCTTGCCGTGCACAAAGCTGATCTGGGTTTAATATCTGGCATTGCGTGTCATTACCAGAAAAACACCAGGAGTCATCCCAGAGCACAGAGCCAGGTGTAAGACCTGAGAACAGATGGGTGTTAGCCAAAACAAACAAAAACTCAAAAAAGTCTTACAATTTTACAGAACTTCATTCACCATGTCTTAAAAGTCTTACAGAACTAGAATATTCCATGTATTTCTCAAATAAAGGGAAACTTATAAGCAATAACTCAAATTTATATGAATTCTGTTTGGGAATTCTTTTCCTTGAAGACTGATTTTTGAAGCTTTTCTAACAAGCAGGCACCCTTTCTTAATTTCCCCTATTAAATCAAGCAGAATCCTATGTACCCCAATTATGAGTAATAAGAGTTAACATACCAAGATGATATTTATTATTAAAAAAACCTAGAAAATATTTTGCTATTATGAAAACAAATCTGAGTGAATGCATGGACTCTGCCATGTTCTATGAGGCTACATCCTTAAGCTACAGGAGAGGGAGCATCTTGTCCATTTCGTAGATGGTTAGAGCAGGCCCAGTGAGACCCACAGAGACGCCCAAGGTAAAAGCCAGGGGCAGTTCCCCTAGCCATGTGAATCCAGGTCTTCTGGAGATCCACTGCTCAACCCAGTTGTATCAGAGACTCTCCTCTATGGATCCTTTGAATATCACTGAGGTCCACACTCTTACAGGCTGGGCCCAAGGAGTTTGAAACTGAGTAATTCCATTGTGTAGCTGCTGGACAGTGGCCCACAAGAGGCTGAAAGAGTCTGAGCATCAGAACCATAGCCTCTGATTCAGAAGTGTTCATTCACTTTATCATCATTAGAGTAATCCCAAATGAACTCAATCAATAAGAAATTAAAGTAATAAGCCAAGGAATGTCCTATGATGAACTAGTATGATCACCTCAAAAAATAATGGAAAGAAATAAATCAGGAAATGTTGATCAGTATGCATGGTATGACTATACTAAAACTTTGCTATACATAAATAGTTCACGTATGTCTTTTCTTTCTTCCTTCTCTTGTTTTTTTGTTTTTGGGTCATACCCAGCAGTACTTAGGCCTAAATCCTAGCTCTGAATCCATGGATGACTCCTAGAGGGAGTCAAGGGAGCATATGGGATACCAGGGAGAGAAT